GGCAAAAATAACTTGATGCTTTGGAGAAAATACAACCAGTAACATGATATGTTCCTAAGGTTTCTTGTCCCAGCAATGAAGTTTAGATTGAAGAGTGTTGTTGGATCATCATTCAGAAGCAGTGTCTGTACATATGGGTTGTTGTAAATGGATTGTTTGAGGGAAAATAATACCCCCAGTGGTTTCCTGCTATAGTAAGACAAAAAACAAAAAAAAAAAAAAAAACACCCACCCCAATTTTGCTTAAGAGCCAATCAAATGTCAGTGCTTCTGTCTCAGTGGAAGGCAAAAGTACAATGTGGGAAACTATGCAAGACATTCTAAATCCATAAAAATGTCTCAATTGCTGTATGCATAGGAGACATCACAATACACTAAAATAAAACCTAAAATCCACACAGGCTTCAGACATTAAAACAAAAAGCAGAGAACCAATTGATAATAGAGTAATAAATTAAAACATGACCTAAGCTCTCCTAAAGTTGCTCACAGATTTCCAGAATGAGATCGCTAAATGACATTATTGGGATGCATAAAATTTAACACTGAGCAAAAAGAGAGAGTTTAAAGTGCATTGTTGATTCCAAATACTATTCATTCATTTAGCACCAAGACATGTTCAGTTACAAATAATGGGTTTCTTTAGTACATCTACTGGAGCTCTACAAACTGAAGTGTGCAGTAGACATTGGGAACCAAATTCAGCAGAACTTGTAATTTTTTTGACAAAACTGCTTCTGACCTTCTGCTGCAGCTCATCAGTTTTCTCCTCCAATGCCCCTTGCACCTTTGAGAGCTGGTTTTCTTTCTCTGAAATACTTCCTTTCAGCTCCACAATCTTCTCCTGATGCTGTGCAAGACATTCACGAGTACATCTCAACTCCTCCTGTATCTCTGAGTTCTTTGGACACAATAAAAGTACATTAACACATTGACACCTGAACCACCCTTCCAAAAAATTGAAGAAATCCACTAGAGCTGTTCTCCTGTGGGGAGAGAGCTACTTCTTTTACCTTGCTAATTGTCTCCTGTAGCATTTCTCTCAGCTGGTCTCTCTCATTCTGGAGATTTTCCAGTTGCATTTTGAATTCATCATCATCTCTTTCAGTCTGGATGCTGACTTCCTGGGAGTCATGTGGTTTTGGAATAACATCTGTTCTCTCCATTTTTTCCGATTCCCCTTGATATTCACTGGCCTTTGCTTCCTCCATTTCATGCAATTTCTGTTGTGCCTGGCTCAGCTCTTCTCTCAGAAGCAATAACTCTTGCTCCACAGATTGTCCTTGAGTCTGTGGTATCTATTTTGTAAGAGATTCAAGTAAACACATGCAGGAAGTACTTTTAGGAAAAAGGTATCTGACACCTTTGACAGGTTGATTATG